AAAAAATGAATAAATAAATAAATCAAATTAAAAAAACAATAAAATAAATAAAAAAAATAAATAAATAAATAATTTAAAAAAAAGAGAACTCCCGATTAAAACCGCGTCACCAAGCTCTTTACATTCCTCACCAGATTCTCTACGTGTTGAAATGCTGCTGCAGGCTCAGATATCTGCAGCTTTAGTTGCTTTTTTCCTTTTGATAACCCCAAAAAAAGAGGATTTGAACAGAGTGAGGGCTGCTGTGATTGTGTGCTTTTCCCTCCATTTTGTCCACACGGCGGAGGTGAAACTCAAACACTGACCGCTGTCTGTCGGCTTTGGCTCAGTTTGGAGCATTTATCCCCCAACAGCAGGAAATAATAAATAAATAAAAAACAGCAGGATTAGTGTCTGAAATAAACCCAGACCCTCTCCGATGTGGCCCCTTTCTTTTTGTTGGTCCTGGTTCTGCCTCAGAGCCCTGGAGGGTTGGATTTCTTTTGGTAAATATATTTATTTATTTATTTACTCAGGACAGTGCACATTAATGAACAATCTCATACAGATCGTAAATTAGCCAGATTCTAGCATAGTTGCTAATTTACATCTGTCGTCCTGAGGCAGGAAGACCAAACAACACAAAATCACTAAATACTAAATCAGTCCAAACACACGTTCAGACAATGACATTACAAAATTAAAATTAATTCAATTCAATTCAATTTAATTTATATAGCGCCACATCACAACAACAGTTGTCTCACAGCTTTCCAAACAGAGCAGGTCAGACCTACTCTGAAGTTAACTACAGAAACCCAACAATTCCCACCATGAGCAAGCACTAGGCGACACAGGCAAGGAAAAACTTCCTTTTTTCCTTGCCCCAAAGATACTAAAAATGACCAAACACTCATTAATTAAGACACAAATTAACACAGAAAAACGACAAAAATTACCAGTCATTAAAAAAAGACACAAACTGACAGAAAGGCAAAAAATGACAAAAAAGTCATTACAAAAGACACAAATTAACACAGAAAAACTACAAAAATTACCAGTCATTAAAAAAAGACACAAACTGACAGAAAGACAAAAAATGACAAAAAAGTCATTACAAAAGACACAAATTAACACATGAAAACGACAAAAATTACCAGTCATTAAAAAAAAGACACAAACTGACAGAAAGACAAAAAATGACAAAAAAGTCATTACAAAAGACAGAAATTAACACATGAAAACGACAAAAATTACCAGTCATTAAAAAAAAGACAAACTGACAGAAAGGCAAAAAATGACCAAAAAGTCATTACAAAAGACACAAATTAACACATGAAAACGACAAAAATCACCCCAAAGACAAAACGAGAGGAAAGCCCAAACTGATGAGGAAGAGTAAAGAGATGAAGGTGGGGCCCACCATGAGCCAGCAGGTGCTTCTAACCTCTGACCCCTGACCCCTGACCGGTGTTATTTCTTCCCCAGGTGGTGCGGGACCAGATCACCCACTGCACCATGAAGCTGCGCCAGACCACCGGCATGATGGAGTTCTGCCTGGAGGTCCTGAAGGAGAACGACCCCAGCGGGTTCCTGCAGGTACCGGAGAGAAACTGTATAATGTAGAGAAAAGGTACCGGAGAG